AGATGACAGGGGAGAGGGACACAAGTCCCAGAACGGAAGTCAGAGGACCCTTCCAGGTAGAAATTTCCTGAAATATTATGGGACAAATAGGTATGTTGGTTCACCTTTCTCTTGCTGCCCATCCTAGAGAGAGGGCACCTGCTCTCACTTCCCAGTGCATCAACTGGAAGGCACAGGTTGCAGGAGAGTGGAAACCTCTCCAGGCTAGGGGAGTCTGTCCTCTTCCTAATGGGCCTCTATAGAAACCTGAAGGCTCCCCCTCACTGGGTGGGCACCCTCATGGCAGGACGCTGGCCAGCCCCACCTGACCTGTCCCTGCCAAGCCACAGCTTTAAAACCCAGAGCTCACCTGGGCCCTACTTGCCACTCTCTGTCCCTCTCAATTTCAAACCAGTTTACCTTCAACCAGCCTCAGTCATCAGTCCCCTTGAGCCACTGTTTTTCCCTCAGTCCCTCCAACAGTCAGTCAACGAGGTCTTCACTGAATGCCAGCTCCAAGAGAGGTGCGTGGGGATCCAGAAACAGTAAGACATGAATCTCAGCCAGCTGGGGGTGGCGAGTGTGAAGAAACAGCTCAAGGTAGCCACTGCCAGGTGCCAAATGAGTGGTACAGATAGGGCGTTCTACATGAACTCAGAGAAAGAAGGCGTGCCTGGGGGCTCGTGGGCAAGGGAGGCATTTTTAGAAGAACTGAGAGGTGACGTTTAAAGAATGAGAAGGCAGTTGGTGAAGCGTGAGCAAAGGCCCCTCACTGGGCATGTGCGTGGCGTGTCTGGAGTTTTGAGTAGACCAACGTGGATGGCTGAGGCAGGGCTTGGTGGAGTTAGTGGGATCAGGAGGATGGAGCTAATATCAGGCTAAGAGATGTGCCTTGCCTGTAAGCAACGGGGAACTCCCCATTTGAAGGCAGACCACTTAGCAAACTTAGCTAAAATGCTTTGCTCTATGTAGGCAGTTGGCTTTCTTTCTTTGGGACTGGACTGTCCAATATGGAAGCCACTAACCACGAGTGGCTATTGAGCCCTTGGAATGTGGCTAGTCCAAATTGACATGTATTATAAGTGTAAAATGTACACTGGACTTTGAAGACAGGGCAAAAAAAACCCCAATGTAAAATATCTTAATAATATTTTATATTGAGTAGACGTTGAAATAACAACATTTTGAATATATTGAGTTATGTAACATATATTATTAAAATTAATTTCACCTGACTCTTTTTAACCTTTTTAAAGGTGGCTACTAGAAAATTTACAATTACATACAAGGCTCACATTATAATTCTTTTGGACAGTGCTGGATTGGAGTCTACAATATCCGTTTTCCACCCCATTCCCTTTCTCTGCAGTCATGCCTGTCTTTTCCTTCTTTTCTTTAGTTTTCAACAGCTCTCCTCTCCTCCTCTTGCCTTCTTTCCTTCTGTCACATTGGCCTTCTTCTTCTCTTTTTACGGTCACATGTGACAATAGATGGTGGAGGGAGGGAGAAGGGGTAATCGGGTGCCTGCTTCCTCTGGCCACAGCCCCGGGCTCACTGAAGCCAGAATTCACCGCAGAGAGGCCTGACATATCTGGAACACTTGTGGGAATTAAAGTTCTAGATAATTCTTTTGTGGCTCACTTGAGGGCAGTCAGAAATTCTTTTTATTTTCATTTGGTTTTGCAAATATTTATCTTTAAAATATTTAACAAAAATCTATCAATGACATGCATGTCATTTACAAAGTTGAACAGCACCAATATCAGACACACTTAGTAAAACAGCGATTGTCTGCCCCTTGCTCTGCCACCACAATCTTATTCCCTGAAGCTCAACACTTTCAATTCTCCCTTGGGTATTTACTTCCTGAAATAGGCAAATTACTAAGTCAATTTCTAAGTAAATTCTTATACTGTTATTTGTTGATTTTTCAATTTTGACATTGTCTATTTTCTTATTATGAAAGAAATGTCTTTTCTGTTTTAATATAGTTTATTAGTGTTTGTTTTATATTAATATATACATATTGCTCACTGCTGAACCAAGTAGTGCATAACAATTCCACTTTCTCGCACAACTTTTTCTTTTCCCGGAGGTAATAACTGCCTGCTTTCTATGACATTTTTATAAATTCTTACCATATTCTCTATAAAATTGTAAAATTGCTTCAAATATTATTTTCATGTTATCGGTAATCTCATATTTTCCATCCCCTGACCCCAGATACCCTCTTGGAGCACCCACCCTCCTGCTCCTTTGAAATTGTTGCAGGATCCCTGCACAGGTGTATGCTTGGGAAACCCCATCTCTTTTGGGTGCCACCCCCAGTTCTTTGCTCTTCTCTCTTGGTTTGTGTCAGTTCCTTTTTGAGGAAGGGTGCCAAGAAGGTTAATTCTTTTGAGACCCTGCATGTTTGAAAATGGGTTTATTCTATTCTCAGCCTTGATTAATAGTTTGGCTGGGTATAGAATTCTAGATTGAAAATCTTTTTTCCCCCCTCAGTCCCTTGAAGGCAGTTGCTCTACTGTTTTCAAGCTTCCAATGTTGCTCTTGAAAAATCTCATGCTGTTCTGCTTCCTGACTCTTTATGTGGCCCCTGTTTGCATTCTCTCTGGATAGTGTTGGAATCATCTCTTTGCCCCCACTGTTTGGACATTCCACAGTCAGATGCCTTGGTGTGGGGTTCTTCCCCCATCTACTTTGCTGGGCACTCAGAGGGCCTTTCCTGTCTAGAAAGTCAGACCTTCAGTTCTGGGAAATATTTTGTGCAAATTTTTTTCATAATTTCCTCCCTATTGTTTCCTTCATTCTTTCTCTCTTACTAGTCAAATGTGGAATATTCTGACGGGATCCTTCAATGTTTGCATCTTTCTTCTCCTATTTCCCATCTCCTTGTGTCCTTGTTCTGTCCCCTGGAAAATTTCCCCAGCTTTATCTTCCAACCCTTATATTTAGAACTTCCAAGGGCTCTCTTTCTTGTTTGTCATTGCTCCTTTTAAAAGAGCTTCTTGTTGTTTTCTGGATCCAACATCTTATTTCTCTGAGGATATTAATTACAGTGTTTTGAAGTTTTTTTTCCTGGTCCTTGCATTACCTCTGTTCCCCTGAGTTCCTTTTCCTTTTTCGTTTTTTTTTTTTGGTTAGGAAGATCAGCCCTGAGCTAACATCCATGCCAATCCTCCTCCTTTTGCTGAGGAAGACCGGTCCTGAGCTAACATCTATTGCCAATCCACCTCCTTTTTTTTTTTTTCCCCTTTTTCTCCCCAAAGCCCCAGTAGATAGTTGTATGTCACAGTTGCACATCCTTCTAGTTGCCGTATGTGGGAAGCCACCTCAGCATGGCCCGACAAACGGTGCATCAGTGCGCGCCCAGGATCTGAACCTGGGCCGCCAGTAGTGGAGGACGTGCACCCAACCACTAATCCATGGGGCCGGCCCCTCTGAGTTCCTTTTCTTCTTCTTATTTTTTTAATTTGGTGCTTTCTCTTTCTCTTTTCACTTTGTAATCTTCCTCAAGGGACTGGTCACCCTTGGACTGTCTGTTCATATTGAAGAGTAGGTCACTAAAAGCTTCCAGAGGCTGTGTGTGTGTGTGTGTGAATTTTTCAATTTATGGGTTTCATTATAGAGTGGCCACTTGGGGGCACACCATTTTATTGGGGTACTCCCAACCAGAAGTATCTATAGAACTCTTTCTGGAACCAGTTTCCAGCCCGGGACTGTAGGGGGTGCAGGGAGGGGGCACAAGGTGACAGCATTTTTGGAACCAAGTGGTAGAAGGGGGGAGGGGTTTCCAAAATTCCATGTATAGGGTGCTGCACCCCTACCCTCCTATATGGGAGCTTTCCTGGCTCAGTTTCCCCGCAAAATGCCAGGGAGAGGGAGGGGCAGTGGTCAATGCCATGCATGGAATAGGAGAGAAGCCCTGGGCAGAAGTGCTTCTATATGGACTTGTAATCAGCCTCCCAGCTTTCAGCTCCATCCTCTCTTCTGCCGTCTGAAGTAGCCACCGCCTCCAATTCCTGACACTTCCAGCATGTGTGGCAGGATTTGTCCACTTCTTGTTGACTTCCCTTCAGTAGGCACTTGGTCTCTGATTTCTCAGCTCTGCTAATTCCTTCATCCGCTTTCCATCTTCCAAAAATCTGTTGACATCTGTTGCCTGCTCATGCCACCTCTCCTGTTCTCTCTGTCCTTGTCTGTCTTCTCTGTATTCCTTTGCTCGCATTGTAGTGGGGTTTGGGAAGGAGCAGATAGTGTGGAACCTGCCATGTTTAGCAGGAAGTCTCTGTAAACTTTTCTGAAGTGCCGAGTCCTCTTCCTTGCCTTATTAAAGGACTCCAGCGCTGAAAGCTGGATCTTGGCTCACGGAGAATTTGTAAGGCTTCCTTGTCATCAAAGTCAATTTTATTTAGAAAAGTAGTGCAGACTAGATTCAATGTAGCCTGAGCCCAGCTTATTCCTGGAAATGTTTGCTTTTAAATAAATTATAATATTATGACAAATTATTTAATTATTGTTTAAATAAAAATTATTTTGCATGATTAGGTTCTGGTTGTTTTCTCTCCGGAAATTAGGGTTCCCCATAGCTGGGTCCTGGCTAGCCAAGCCTTCAGTGAAGTTCAGAGCTTGGCTGGACTGGACTTAGTTTTCTCCAGGGGGCATCTATTAAAAAAGGTACTAAGGTCAATGAGGTTGCATGGGAGGAGTCTAATTCAAGAAAGCCAAAATGCCTTCAGGGACCTTAAAACTCCTTTAATGTAAGTGTGTTAATTTTAAAAAGGATGCATATCTATTAATTAAGGAAAACACTCCTCACCCCTCCAACACATATACACACAGAGCCTTTACTTGGCAGCATTAAAGATGATCATATGTATATAAAAGTGAAGACATTGCTGTGTTCTAAAGAAGGGCTTGAGTTTCACCAGCTGCAGGGTGTCCCCAGGGCGGGACAGGGTCTGTGGGGGAGGGGCGCAGAGCTGGTCCTCATGGAGCCTTCTCTGTCCTTGCCTCTCCAGGTGCCCCTTTTCAAAGGTCTCAGCATCCTCACGCTACCTCCTGCCGCCACTTCCACCTGGGCCCCCCGCAGCCGCAGCAGCTCGCGCCCGACTTCCCCCTGGCCCACCCAGTGCAGTCGCAGCCGGGCCTCAGCGCCCACATGGCCCCGGCCCACCAGCACAGCGGCGCCCTGCACCAGTCGCTAACCCCGCTGCCCGCCCTGCAGTTCCAGGACGTCACAGGTCCCTCCTTCCTACCTCAGGCCCTGCACCAGCAATACCTCCTGCAGCAGCAGCTCCTGGAAGCCCAGCACCGCAGGCTCGTCTCGCACCCCAGGTAGGTGCTGCCCAGGGCGGGGCGAGGAGGGCCGGGGCGGGGTTTAGGGAATGACTCCCGGCTTCTACCCCGTCAGGCTTGGCCCGCAGTCACCAAGTGGGTCTCTGTGCAGAAGGCAGATTTTGCTCCCCTTAGAGGCATTCATTTCAGTCAGTGGTCGCTACCTTGACGCGACATGGACTCCCTCCAAAGCAAGTGTGTGTCCCTGTCACATCACCCAGGTGTAGGGACAGGGGCTGTGTGACTGGTGGTCTATGATGCTCATGGTGGACTTTTGCACGGTGTGAGAGATCTGACTAGGGAACCCCTTATGTCCTCTCCAACTTGATGATCACCTGGTTCTAACACCCAACATCCCTAAGGGATGCCAAAGGACATGGCTGGTTCAGTCCTGCCCTCAAAGAGCCATGGTCTGATTGGAGAGACCAGCTATGAAACAAATGGAGATTAAAGTTAGATAATACTAATCAGATGGGTCTGACAGAGCTGTGGGATCCTGGGCAAGTCACTTGACCTGTCTGAGCCTTCCTCAACTGTCAAGAAAGAGTTGGACGAGACCAGTGGTTCTCAAACTATTTTGTCTCAGGACGCTTTACACTCTTGAAAATTGTTGAGGGTTACAACGAGCTTCTGTTTATGTGGGTTATGAACGTTGATACTTACCATATTAGAAAATAAAACTGAGAAATTTAAAAAATATTTATTACTTCATTCAAAAATACAATAACAAACTCATATGTCAACACCAATATCTTTTTTGAAAAATAGCTATATATAAATGTAGTGAGAAGAGTTACTTTTTTTTTTTTTTTACATATTTGCAAATCTCTTTAATGCTTGGCTTAATAGAAGACAGCTGTGTTCTCATGTCTGCTTCTGCATTCAATCTGTTGCAGAATCACATGTCAATCTGTCACATGCAGAATCACATGTCAATCTGTTTCTGGAAAATTCCACCATTCACTTGTGAGGGAATGAGAGTGAAAAAGCAAATAACATCATGGTCTTATTATAGTTTTCACCTCATAAACCCCATGAAAGAGGCTTGGGGACCACCATGGGTGCCTGAAGCATACTTTGAGAACTGCTGGACTAGATGATCTCTAAGGCACTAAGTGTCCATGTCTGTAGGGGTTGGGGTGCCTGGGACAAAAGGTTAGTGTTGTGGGAAGTCAGAGGGAGGAGAGGTCACCATGATCTGGAGTGTTCAGGGAGACCTTTCTGAAGGAGGTGGGCTTTGACCTGGGCCATGAAAGCTGGGGAGAGCATGGAAAATGGTGGAGGAGAGGAGAAGAGCATGGCAGGAGCAGAGGGGTGCACAGAGGTGAGAGAGCCTGCAGGAGGCAGATCTGTGGGTCTTAAAGACAGCCCACCAAGGACAGAGAGGAGTAGTAGGACAAGGAGCAGAGGAGGCAGAGAGTTTGGGTGGAGCCGGGTGATCTGTAGCAGACACACCATGGAGAGGCCCCAGTACAGTGGACAGCCTGGAGACAGGGGGAATGTCTGGATTATTGGCTGCTGCCCAGCTGGGGAGCTTCCTTGGAGTTTGCGAAGAGAGGTAAAGCTCTGTAGGCTGTGGGCTGGGGTTGGCTGGGGCGGCTCAGAGTTCCTGGGAGCTGGGCTGGCCCTGGGCAGCCCCTGATGCCAAGGGCCCTCCTTCCCCTCTGGTGCAGGCGGAGTCAGGAGCGCGTGTCTGTCCACCCCCACCGACTCCATCCCAGCTTCGACTTCGGCCACCAACTCCAGACGCCTCAGCCCAGGTATTTGGCTGAGGGCACCGACTGGTGAGTCTTTGGGGCCCCTGGGGGAGTAGGGAGGGAAGAGTTCTTACCTGATCCGTGGGGTTCCCGTTTCCTTCCTGTGAATGGTGCAAGAGGTCTAGTCCTCAGGCCCCAGCCTTTGCCCTGTCCCAGCCACCCTCAGCGCCACATGGCCCTCCCACTGGGCCTAGTTCTAGGAATTAGCTCACATATGGCTGGGTGCCATCATGTGCCCAGCCTGGGCTCAGTACACATGGTCTTGTAGAGAAGGAGGGGACAGGGATACAAAACAGTTCCCAAGCTCAGTCAGGGCTGGAAACAAGTGGTCCCTGGGAGGAGGGCAGAAAGGAGCATCTCAGGAGCTGGGGGTGGTCAGGGAAGGAGGGGGTAGGCCTTGAGGGATCCACAGAGAAGTGCCAACAAGCCAGAACACAGGCTCATGGAGACAGAGCCAGCCAGGTTGGAGGCAAAGACTGGGGAGAGAAGCTGGGGAGAGAGGTTGAAGCTTTGTTGTGGTGTCTCTGTAGGCAATGGGCCCCTGAGAAGTCTTCCCACCATCTCCTGCACTCAGGATAGAGGTCTTTGTGGCCTGGGATGCAGTGTTGCTCGGTTTTGGATTCTTGGTCCCACTGGACTCTGATTCTAGCTCAGGGGAGGGCTGACCTAAACTGGGGTTGGATCCAAGCACTAAAACACTTGAAAAAGATATGCAGTTCACTGAAGTATTTAGAGGTCAAAAGCATCATGCCTGCAACTTATTTTTAAATAGTTCAGAAAAAAAAATCCCTGGAGAAGTGTGTGTGTCTATGTATGGGTGTATGGATGGGTGGATGCATGGAGAGAGAAGGAAATGGAAATGCAGAAACATAGTAAAACGTTAACACTTGGGGAATCTGGGTGAAGGGTATCCAGGAATTCTTTGTGCTGTTCTTGCAACTTTGAGGTCAAAAAAAAAATTGTTTTTAAGAATGTAAAAACAAACAAACAAAAAATCTCAATGGAAAGGGATGGACTATTAAAAAAAAATAAGTGTGCAGTTGTGTCATTTCTCAGCCATTTAGTCAGGCAAACTGGCTTAGTCAAAGGTCACTTACTGGACACCCAGGAATGATTCAAAAGCAGGAGAGTTCTGGTTGATTCAATGTAAAGATGCTTCCAGGTGCAGGAAACAGTTGTTTTAACCTGTTCTGTTGTCTCCAGCCCGCTGCTGGTTCTCAGGTACACTCCGTTAAACTGAACACTCCTTTAAAAGATAGCTTGCACCGAGGCCAATTTCAGCCCAGCCTGTTTCTAATTAGCTGATTCAAATTAAGAAGATTTAATTGCAGTTTGGACTGAATGCTGTCCCTCAGCAGGCAAGTCAATGCAGTTTAACTCAACTCAGCCTGCATGGAGCACCCAGGGCCCTCGCATATGGCTGAGTGACCTGAACAAACACACAGGGTCCAGCGTGGCCAGTGGGACTGGACAGGTGACACAGGAGAGAGTGCTCCTGGGGAGGTGACAGGGGGAGCAGTGCAGGTGTTAGCACTGTCAGCTCTCTTTATTTAGCCGAGTCTCCTGGTCCTTCTTGCTCGTTCAATCACTCTGTGTTCCTGACCCCTGCTTGCCCTGAGGCACATAAAGACTGAAGCCCTGAGAAGCTGGTCTGTGCCCCAGCGGGGAACGCTGGGAGGCCCCTGCCCTGCCTGAGTCCCATCCATCTGGGTCCACCCCTGGGCCCTTTCTGCCCATCCTGTCCCCACTTCCCAAGTAGGAAGACCTTTCCAGAGGAGGAGGTGACAATTTCTCCTCCCTTGTAATTAGCTGTGCTCCAGGAAGGTGGACTGAGGACTAGTGGTGACAAGGCGCTTTTTGTCATTGTGACCATGCTAACTGTACCCCACCCCTCTTTTCCAGAGAGTCCTCTTCTGCCAGGAGATGTGCAGTCTTGAAATCAGATGACGGGAAATGCATGATAGGAGAGGCCACTCCCATCCCCTTGCAAGGAGCCCTGGGAGGGAGGAGGTGGGGAGAGTGTCAGCCCCCCTTCCCCTCTTCCTTTAGAGAACCATCAGAAACCTCTGAATTCTGCCCTAGGTCATTCTAGAAATTGAGCTGCAGGCCACAAGACCCTGCCGCACTTTTGGGGCAAGCTTCCTGGGAAGAACGTAAGGGTCTACGTAGAAACCAGACCACACCACGCTTCAAGGCCATTGACAGTGTTTGAAAATAAAGTTCAGTTTGATGTTCAGACACAACTGATAAGAACTGTGCATTGAGACAATGTCCATAAGAACTCTCCAGGGCACCTTTCTGGGTACCCTGTGACTGCAGGTCTGTGGGGTATTTCTATGACCCTTTCCAAACTCAGCTAGGTTCTCACAGGCTGGTGGGAAGAGCAGAAAGGTGGGAGACACTGCCTCTCCAGGGGCTGATGTCTCCTCGGGGAAAGTCCCCACCCAGGTTTCTTTAGGGTCCGAGGAACATCCCCTGTTCAGGGATCCTGAGTCCAGGAAGGAATTTTCTGATGAGATGGTCAAAGGGGGATTCCAGAGCCCACCCAGGCCCAACCTGGGTAGATCATCCCACTCATCTGAGAGCTGAGGTGCCTTTCGCTTCTCCAGTCAGCATTCTTGGAATCGGGGTGACTCTGTTCCATGTTCCTTGAGACTTTGCTTTTGGTAGAATTCCCTGAACATCTTTGCTTCTTTGAGTTTGCTGGGCTCCCTGAGACCACTGGTAAATGATGAGAGTTGGAGCTTCTGCCACATGGAGCTTCTGCCCTGTGGAACTCTTTTCCCGGAGGCAGGTCAATGGGATGAGCCCCAGCAAGGGGCAGAAACCCTGGTGGCCCTAAGTGGCTAGCCCAGGACCATGGGTGCCCTTCTTCAGGCCTCAGATGGGCCAGCAGAAATGAGTGGCTGGATTAGAGGAATTCTAAGTTTGTTTCCAACTGGCTCCAAGAGTTTAGCTCATTTCTCAAATGACAGACTCATTGGAGTTATTCCAGGGATCCAGGCTTATAGCTATAGGAAATATAGGAATATATACACATCATAATAAATATACATCAGGGTTGGAGGCAGAAATTCCTTTAATGTCCCTCATATATATACACACACACACACACACACACACATATATATATTTAATGTATTTGTTGCAGAAATCAGGCTGTTTTCTAGTAGAGTTTCCCCTTATCAGATTTTGCTGGTTACACTCTGGTGTTATCACTTAAGATGTTCCTCAATTTCCATTGTTCCTTATACATTGGCACTTAGATCAAGACTTGAGCAGATTCAGGTTCAGCTCTTATTTCTTGGCAAAAATACTTCATAGGTGGCAGCATGTTCTTCCAGCAGAAAGCTGGTTGTCTCTCCTCCTGTGATGTTAGTAGCAATTGATGATCTTTGCCTAGATCCTTTACTTCTTTAGGGGTTGCAAAAAGGTGACAAATAATTCAATCATTCTTTACTCATTTATTAGCTAGAAAACTTTTATAAATGAGATGTCCCTTCATCAACCATTTGGTTACCCTGAAGCAGTTAATAGAGGAGAGGCAGGGTAAATGCTCAGTTCTTTCCCTTTATTGACTAGTTTTCAAAATGAAGAGTTGGCTCCCCAGCATCCTTCAACGGGTCCAGTTTCCTTTGGCATCATTTCACTCTCATGGATTTGAACATAGTTGATGTACTTCAGTCTATTGCAGTTACGCTCGTTGATGTGGGGATTGTCCAATCTCTGGCCAGTGGGAGCCTCTTCAGGATGCTTCCTGAATCCTTTTGACTTGATCCTGGTCGTGTTTGATAACTTCCTTGCTTTCAGTTATGACAAGATGTTTCAATCTCGTTTTGCACATTTTCTGCCCCAGACCTGAAATAAGCCATTTTCCGAGGAGCCCTGGCTCCTTTTCAGTTGCATTAATTGATTAATTTTTAAGTGAAATGAGTTTCCCTATACTTTGGGGGTGGGAGGTAGGAGGGGATCCAGGATAGCTATTCCTGCCTCACAGCTGTAGAGGTCTCTTTTCTGTTGTTTTCTCAAAGTGGTAAAAGTATGCCCTCTGCTCCCCCCTCCACTCTGTCTGAACTTGTCTTTCCTTTACTCTGTAACCCTGATTTGCTGTTTGGATCCTTCTTTCTGCATTTCTCTTGGGGAGGGGCTTTGTCTAGGGAGATCACTTTGCTGCACTAGTTTCAGAGTTTTATGGGGTCTAGACTGTTCTAGCTCCTTCAGACCTTGAGAGCCCTTTCCTCTCTGCATCTCAGTCTCCTTCACCATAAAGAGAGGGGAAGGGCTAGTGAGATGCCCCTTGCAGCTCTGGCAGTTTGTGACTCTGATTCTACTCAGGGGGCTTGATGTCTGAGGTCCCTTCTGCACCGTGATGGCTGAGTCACACCACCTGTGGTTCACTGTGGCCATGTCCCCGCAGGGATCTCAGTGTGGACGCCGGCTTGAGTCCTGCTCAGTTCCAGGTGCGGCCCATCCCTCAGCACTATCAGCATTACCTAGCGACTCCTCGAATGCACCACTTTCCCCGAAACTCCTCCTCCACGCAGATGGTGAGTGAAAGGGCTTTGCCAGGACACCGACTCCTTGCTGCCTGGTGGGGGCCAATGGTGGGCTGAGGTCTGCAGCTCCCGCTGTATCCCTCTCCTCCGTGTCCCTGTCCCCTGTGTCCCTTCTCTGTGTCCCTCCCCCCGTGTCGTTCTCCCCCGTGTCCTGCTCCCAGGCAGCTTAACTGTTACTCTCCCCTTCCAGCTCCTGTGGCTTGAAAGGGAAAGAAAGAGAACCTGCTAGACTGAAGCTAGTACTATGGACAGGACTGGGTGGGCCCTGGAGGGGTGGAAAGGGACTGTGTAGCATCTGTGGTCTGTGGGGAAAAGGCTCAGGGCAAAGAGTGGGCAGGGAAGTCCCTGGACTCCATATGACCTCATTTAGTTAATTTCTTAGAGTCGGTGCCTCCCTGGGCTTTGGTTTTACTTATCTGTGAAATGGGATGAAGACGCCCGCCTCGTCCACCTCACAGGACTGGCATAGGAACAAAAGAGACCCCAGAGGAAGCCCCTGGGCCTGGCCTGCTGATCCAGTCCTGCTTTCTGCAGGGGGCAGCCTTCATCACTGCAGGGGGCTGCAACTACCAAGGATCAGATTGGGTGCGGGGGGCCTTCTCCTTCCTGGCGTTGCAAGCTGCACGGAATGAAGGCAAAGATATTCATTAAAGCAGCAAAAGGCTGATGAAAACTCTTCTTATTTCCAGACGGTTTCCTCATGTTGCTGCCCTGAAGCATAATTCCTCCCTTCCAGCCCTTGCCTCTCCATCGGGCACGCAGCACCTCCGTCTCCTTATTTGTAGAATGAGAGGCTGGGACAAGTAATTCTGGAAATCCTTGTCAGCTCTGAGGTTCTGTGGTTTGCGTTATGAAGCCCCATCTTCTAAGAATAAAAGCTAACATTTATTGAGCACCTACTGCATACCAGGCACTGTTCTAAGCACTTTATATGAATTATCTCATTGAAACCTCTCAGTAGCCCCACACAAAAGGGTATTATCCTATTTTACAGTTTGGCAAACCGAGGCATAGAAGGGTTAAGGAACTGGCCCAGAGTCATACAGTGAGTAAGTTGAGCAGCTAGGATGGAAACCTGGCCCTCTGACTCACAGGCTGGATGAGGGTGAGGTGAGTGAGGCAGGGCCATGCAAGTATAGGGCCAGATCCTGTCTTTACTTAAAATTTTGATATTCTGTTCATTATGGATTTTTTGCATTAATTTTTTCTTAAATATTGCATTAAAATATTATTTATCTTGGTTCCTGAGTCTTTTGGTGCCCTTTTATATTTTGTGCCCTCACTTGCCCCACCCTAGTCTGGGCAGTGCAGAGTAGAAGGGAAGGGAATGGACTGTGTACTCAACTGCCTGGGTTTGAAATAGTGATTCTGTCACTTGATGGCATAACTTGGTTCACTTACTTAATCTGTTTGAGTCTCATTTACCCTATCAGTAAAATGAGAATAGTAATTGCATCCACATTGTAGATCAGATGAGATAATTAAATAATTAAATTTGTGAAGGGCTCATCATGAAAATAAACGCCCAACCAGGTTATTTGTTACTTTATTGATTTTGTTATTCTTTCTGAGGCTGGTCAGTTATAAGCTTGGTTCTTGATGAGGAGGGGAACACAGGAGCAGGAAAGACGGCACTTCTGCCTGCAGCATCTCAGGAGTGTGCTGATTGGCTGTTATGGGAGGAAGAATTGGATGCTGGGCTCATTGAGCCTTGAATCCTATCCAAGGCATTTTCTCCCCAACAGGTCGTCCATGAAATCCGAAACTACCCTTACCCTCAGCTTCACTTCCTTGCTCTCCAGGGACTGAATCCCAGCAGACACACCTCCGCCGTGCGGGAGAGCTATGAGGTATGTTTCTCCGTCTGGGAATCCTCCTGCCAGCCTGGCTTCAACTGGGTTGGTGGAAATGCCATTATTGTTCATCCTCTCCTATCCCTTCTCCCTGCTGGTGAATAGGGCATGGGCACAGGGGAAGCCTCAGGCTTGAATGTAAGAGAGAGAAAAAGAGAGAGGGAGAGTAGAGATATTGTGGTCTTTCAGCATCTGACCAGCTCTTCCCAGTGGCTATGTGAATGCTTCCTGCTAACAAACATCTCTCAGTGCCCCTCCTCCTTATTGTGTGTATGTGTGTGTTTGAGCGTGCCCAGGACACACATCCACATTTTTCTCTCTGCAGGAGCTGCTGCAGCTCGAGGACAGGTTGGGAAATGTGACTCGGGGAGCTGTACAGAACACCATTGAGAGGTTCACCTTCCCCCACAAGTACAAGAAGGTGAGTCTGCCAGCAGGTCAGCCTGCACAGTCGGGGGGGTGGGGAGTATGAGTTGTCTAGTTGACCTTGGCCTTGTTGTCCACCGAGGGGCACAGCCCAAAATCTAGAAGGCTTTGCTCTAGTTAGATGCGCTGAAGTTGCAATACCTTCCCAGGGTCTTCTCTCTTGCCTCTGGCAGGTGTGACCAGGAGGGAAGACGGGGGGGGGGGGCGGCGGGCCTCTCATCAGTAGAGGAAGAAGGCTGGGTATGTGTCTGTGCATATGGACTTGTGAGTGGGTGTATTAGCTAGGAGTGCAGGCATATAAATGTTTGTGTTTGAATGAGGTGGGCAAAGGGAACACCTGCACTAAAGGCTAAGATTTGCCTTAGAAAAGATTTCCGGGTCCAATCTCACATGAACAAATGGGCAACTAAGGCTCCAGAGGAGGGGTTTCCAATCCTGCCTGAGCATCAGGATCACCTGGGGAGCTTTTAAAGCCACAGACTCACAGCCTCTACCCTATGCCTATAGAGGTAGATGCTGCAAGGTAATTGGCCGGGAATCTGGGGTAGATTTAAGCCCGGGAATCTAAATTAAAAATTAAAAAATTTTTAATTAAAATAAATAAAAAATTTTGGAAGCAACCAAGATGTCCTTCAATAAGTGAATGGATAAACAAACTGTGGCACATCCATACAGTGGAATATTATTCCATGATAAAAAGAAATGAGCTATCAAGCCATGAAAATACATGGAGGAAACTTAAATGCATATTTCTAAGTGAAAGAAGCCAGCCTGAAAAGGCTGCATGCTGTTTGATTCCAACTATATATCATTCTGAAAAAGGCAAAACCAGAGACAGTAAAAAGATCTGTCGTTGCCAAGGGGCTGTGGGGGAGGGAGGGAAGAATGAAGAGGTGGATCACAGAGGGTTTTGAGGGCAGTTAAACTATTTTGTATGGTACTGTAATGATGGACACATAACATTACACATTTGTCAAAACCCGTGGAATGTACAATGCAAAGAATGAACCCTAACATAAACTAATGGACTTAGTTGACAACGGTGTATCACTATCAGTTCATCAATTGTAACAAATGTACCACACTAAAGCAAGGTGTTAATAATAGAGGAACCTGTGTGTGTATTGGGAGGAGGAGGAATATGGAAAAGCACTGTACCTTTTGCTCAACTTTTATGTAAACTAAAACTGCTCTACAAAATAAAGTCTGTTATAAAAACAAACAAACAAATAATTTTTAAATTTCCCCCCTCCTGGAGGAGTTAAAAACTTGACAAGTGTTGAGAAACTTGGAGCAGGAACATGCTCATCATGGTCAAACCAGAGCCTATCTTTACCTCCTCACGAGGCCCCAGGATGCATGGTTGAGAGCACTAGGTGTTGGAGTGAGACAGGGCCAGTTTTACTACTGTCTCAGTCAATTCAAGGTGCTGTAACAAAATACTACTGACTTGGGTGGCTTAAACAACAGACATTTATTTCTTACAGTTCTGGAGGCCAGGAAGTCCAAGATCAAGGCACCTACAGATTTGGTTCTTGGTGAGGGCTCTCTTTCTGACTAGTAGACAGCTGCCTTCTCTCTGTATCCTCAAATGGTGGAGAGAGGAAGCTCTGGTGTCTTTTCCTCTTGTCTTAAGGGCACTAATCCCCTGATGGGTGGCTCCACCTTCATGACCTCATCTAAATCTAACTACCTTCCAAGGGCCCCACCTCCTAATACCATCACATTGGGAGTAAAGGCTTCAACATATGAATTTGGGGGGGACACAGACATCTAGTCCGTAACCACCACTTACAGCTGTGTAACTCTGGACAACTTACTTGGCTTTTCTAGCCCCTTCCCTGCCCTTTTTAATGTAAAATGGGAATTATATATTAGTAGCTACATAAGGGGTGCTCTGGGGATTCAGTGGGCAATGCAAGTACACAATTTAGCGTGGTGCCTGGGACCTGGTGAGTGCATAGGAATGGCGAGCTGCTCTCGCCTTGAGATGGGGCTCATTTGTTCTAGGCTTGCCCAGGTGCCAGTGGTGTCAATGTCAAAGACCGTGAATCTTGCTCTCTGCAGCTCCTCATGGAGGAACTGGATTTATCCATAAGTGATTCTACCAACATTTGTTATCTATTATGTGTCAGCCATGGATAGTATGTTAATAGAGGAAATGACAGTATTTCAGTAATGAAGGGTGTCATTTGCATGGAGAAAATGGTCATTCTCTGGAGAGAGAGCTTTGAGCTATTGGAGAAGAGTATGGAGGGAATGAGGCGTGTTCAGGAGCCAGGAGCAGCTTCTACTTCCCTGTCTGGGGCCACATGCTTCACCTGCCACCATTTCAACAGGTCAGGAGGAGATAAGGAAGAAAACCAAACACTAAGAATGAAAAACTAAAATGGGTTGAACCAATGAGATAAAGAATCAAGCTAAAAAATTATGAGAATAAAGAAAGAATTAGCGGAATAAAAATATTAGAAATAAAGAATAAGAGAAATAAAGAATGAGAAATGATCAAGTCTAGGACCCAAATGAAATGTGAAAAAAAACTTTAAATATTTAAACTGAGAGTAAAATAATATAAAACAAAAAGGATATTTTTAAATGGTAATGATAGGAAAAGAACAAAAAATATAGGAAAAAATATATATAGTCAAATAGAAAAATATGAAAAGAATAAAAATTAGGAAAAGATATGAAAACAACATATAAAATTAAAATCAATAACATCAAAGTGAAAAGCAAATGTTATTGAAAATGAGAAGGTAAGGGGAAAAGGGATAAAATAAATACTAAATGAATAAATGCTGAAAAACGTATAGTTAAAAGTTGCATAGATAATGAAAAGAGAAGAGAAAAACCAGAAGACCTAAAAGACTAAAAATACAAAAGAGGAAATAGGATAAGATTTAAAAAGAGAACAATTTAAAGAAATGTAGATCAGACATAGTAATACAAGGTAAGAATATTAAGCTAAAATTAATTTATTTAATTTGTTATTTATTTTAATAATGTAATAATAAATATTTTATTTAATTAATTTTATAACTATAATTTTATAAAAATATAATAATAAATATTTTATTTATTTATTTATTTAATTTATTAGCCATAAAAATGAAATCATGAATAATAGTGGGGAAGAAAACAATAGAAAACAGGCAAGTAGTTGCATCTTAATGGTTTCTTTTACAGAACATCCCTTTTCTTGCAGGGCCAGCTAAAAGAAGGTCACTCCTCCAGCCAACACAGCTGGGCTCTTAGGCAGGCATCATCATGACTCCATTCATAGTCAAAAGCCATGACAATTATGTGGGACTGTGGATGTACTTCTGGTTTTCTGGATTCTAGATAAGGGGATACCTATTGTAGTAGCCTTACATGGTTTGCAACGGGATATATAGGGCACAAGGAGGCTGAGAGCAGAAGGAATAGATTTTCTTGTATCTTCCAGCAAGGTGACAATATTCCCCAGACTACATCAGACTAAGGGACTTTAAAGCTTAGGACTAAGGATCAGAGTGGGGAGACCTGGCATCTAGGGCTGGCCCCAAGGTCGTGGTCATTCTCTGGGTGGCCTTCGTCTGGTGACTCCCGATTTTTCTCTTGGTCAAATGACCTTTAAGTCTGCTTATGCCTGGAGAGGAGACAGAAGGGCTAATTTTCTTCACATGGATGTTATCAGACTGTTTCACTGCACAGCATGGAGAGGGGCGCATGAAAGGTGGGCTGCTTTCATTCACTGATTACATTCCTTCACCCCCAGAATATTTATTAAGCACCGGTGATGTACCTGTGCTTGGCCAAGTGTGGGGCAGTGCCTAAAGAAGAGGGAGCCATGGTCTATACCATCTAAGAACTTAGAACTTTCTCCTTAGTAGTTAACTATATTCAAATAATTATCATAGAATTTAAAACAGGACAGTTAAAGTCAATAAGTTTAAACAGAGTGCCTGCATGATGTCTCACCTCATGTTGGAACTGTGCCTATCTTAGAGGAACTTTCTGGATAGGAAGAGAAATCTAACAATATAAAATAACAGTGTGGTACAAATTACAGATGTAATGCCAAGTTGAGGAATTTTGCCTTCGTCTAGTAACGAATGAATAAATGAATATACATTAGTGAGTGAAAGGCAGGAAGGCAGGAAGGCAGGAAGGAAGGGAGGGAGGGAGAAAGAAAGGAAAGAAGAATGGATGGATGGATGGATGAATGGATGGATGGATGGATGAAGTATGCCAGACCTGAAAGTGGAGGAAGAAGCCTGGAGGCAGAGATCTAGTTTGGAAAGGGTGTAAGGAGGAGTGAAGAGCACGAGGGGAACAGAAAAGGGAAAGCTGTTTATGCACAGCCATTGTTTTGCAAATGGTTGATTCATTAGGTACCCAATTCCTTTCCAAACTCTATGCCCCTAGGACAGCATAAAGTTTATGTCTGGGAAATAAATTACATGAGACAACAAAAGGCCAACTTAACTTGGCCTCTTCCTCTCTTGGCTTTAACACTCTGTATCCTGCAGCAAGGAGGAAGGTTGGGAGGAGGCAGGGAGAAGGGTCTGGGAAGAGCAAAGAAGTCTGGGTGTTACTTAGGAACTTAAAGACACTGACTCACAAGGAAGAGGAGGCTGCAAGGGACTGGGAAGCTGTGGATGAAAGACAATGGCCACCAGGTGAGTCTGCTCCAGGTAACGAATGCTCCTCCTCTGCTTCTCGTAGCGAAGACCCCAGGATGGCAAGGGCAAGAAGGAAGAGGGGGAGGAGTCAGACACAGATGAGAAATGCACAATCTGTCTGTCTATGCTGGAAGATGGAGAAGATGTGAGGTAAGAGGTTGGACTCTTCCATTCTATCTTGGGTGTTGGTGATCACTCCCGTGCTATGTGTCAGGAGTGGGGGTGCTTGTTTGCTTGTAGGTGTATGTGTGAGAGTGTGCCAAGTGTGCCATAGTATGCTTTGTGGTTGTTCTAGGAACATTCTAGATGTGTGGTGCCCATGGGTGTGGACTCGTGGACACGAAGTGTAAGAGAACAGAGTGCTATTTGGCCTGGATGGCTCTAAGACAAAGTCATGGCTTTGTTGCAGGCTGAGCTGAAAGGGCTGTATGGGGAAGGGCTTCCGTGCACAACTTCCCATCCCAGCCACAGCCTCACTCCATGGCAGGGCTCCCAAGACCCTCTTTGGCCAATCCCCCAGTGGTCCCGGGTATGGGATCCTGATCCTCTCAGTTGCCTGTATCGCTCAGCTCCTGGCACAGCCCCAGGCACCTTCCCTCTGACCACTCCTCTGACTCTCCCTCCTGTCTTCCAGGCGCCTACCCTGTATGCATCTCTTTCACCAACTATGCGTGGACCAGTGGCTCGCCATGAGCAAGAAATGCCCCATCTGCCGAGTGGACATTGAGACACAACTGGGAGCCGACAGCTGAGGGAAGAATTAGCCAGTGGACACCCCATTTTCCTTCACCAGGTCCCCCCACGGCCATAGCCCTTGCAGCCAAACTTTGCCTTCTGAGCCATTTGATGTAGAGGATAAGCCTGCAAGCACATTTTGTGGAAAGAGGAGTTGGTGGTATCAGTGTCTGAGGGAAAGGAGGGGGTGGGGGGAGGACCCACCCATCCAGAATGGTGACTGCCCCCATCTGCCTCGCCTCATGGGAGGGAGGGAGCTGGCCGTGCCCGGAGCAGGGGTGGGAAGGGGGGGCCCACGCTGCTGAGAATCTTGATGTGATCCTGAAGATCCTAGCTGATAGACCGGCCCCTCAATCCTGTCCTTTGAAGGATTGTATATATACCTCTTGACCACGTAGAAACCACGTAGGGGTCTCTAGCTATTTCTGTGGATGGCAGCCGGAGCATGTTAGCTTAAGAAAAATGTTGTGTGTGGTGCTCTAGTCATCTTGTGGTGGACATGTCGCTATTACCGAATTCGCACCAAATATTTCTCATTGAGTTTCTTGTTTTGGTGCCTGACTGAACCAACCAACGACAGCCCAAATCTTCCCGTCTTTAGGAGAAAAAAGGAAAAAGGAATCAAAGGTGGAAAAAAAAAGCCAAATCCTGTTTACGGTGAAAAAGGATTTTTTTTCACCCAGGTTGGGAGGCGGGAGGGGGGTTCTCGTTTTGTTTTTGGTTTTGTGTTTTCCTTTGCTTTTGTTTTTCTCATGTTTACAGTGCATGGAGTATGGAAAGGGGCATCTGGGAAAGGGCAGAACTGGAAAAGGAGCAGAGGGGGGTCTTCGATGGGCCTCTGAGGGGCTCAGCTGAGGTTGGGAAGGCAGAGTTTGAGTAGGTGAAGAGGAGAAGTCTGTCTTGAAGGAGGGTCCCAAGTTTCGGAGCCGATCTGCTGAGCTCCAGCCATCCCTCCGGTTCCACACTGAACCAGGATGGGGCCACCCTTCAGCAAGAGTTGCCCGGTGTTCTCAGAGCCAGGATGCCCCTGCTCATGCCAACTTCTTCCTTTTGGCTGTGCTCATGCCCTGATACAAAGAGGTAATTTGGCCACTGCCTCCCTATGCAAAAAAATAACCGTATGCTGAAAATAAGATAGCATAGGTGATGGACACTTGGTCTTGGCCAGAGTACTCTCCACTAGCACTCAGGGGCTGAGGTCAAACTCCGTGGACCTTGAGGAGGACCTTCAGCTTCCTTTGGGACGTCTCAAATCCTGATGGAGTCCCTCCCAGATGGCCCCGGCCCTGAGACTGTGTTGGCTGTGTTTGGGAGGCCCTGTGTCACTAGCTTCTGGCTCTTTCTCTGACTCTTTGATAACCTTGGGCAAGTCCATTTCTTTCTCTGTGCCTCAGCTTCCTTCTCCCTAGAGTGGGGAGAAACAACAGTGCATCCCCATTTCCACTTCCTCTACCTCACCTAGATGTTGTGAGGATTAATAATATCTGCCCAATGCATTCTCTGCTCTCTCCTGGGAAGCCCCTTGGGGTTTAGGGATGAGGGGTGGTGGGAGAGACAGACCTGGAAGTTCCAAGTGGCACCACGCAGTGTGTCTTTCTGCACCACCCCACAATTTTTCTGAACCTCAAAGGGAGCAGAGATGGGAGGATAGAAGAATAGAGATGGGAAAATCCACCAAATTCCAACCCCAACCCAACTTTCCTTATCCACATGTGGAAAACACCAGCTCAGCTGGAACTCTGCTCTCTTTCTTTGCCCCTCTCCCTCCTCCTCTCCCGAATTTGCACTGCCCTCAAAGCTTCCCTCCCCTCACCCCTTACCCCAGTCTCAATGCCCTTCTATCAATAAGAGAAGACTAAGAAGGACAAGATACTTAACACATATATGAAGAAATTCCGTAAGGTTAAGGAAATCTGAGTCTGCATTGCTGCTAGAAAGGGGAAAATGAGGACCAACGGGTAAAAATGACTGGGAGGCAGATTTTGGCTTGAGGTAGAACCTTTGAGCACAACCGGAGGTGTCAAGTGGAAGGATGGCTGCTCTGCACACCTGCAGGCAGAGAGTGGGGGACATGGCTTCTGCTGGGAGGGCTACTCAAAGATCTTCCTCAGACTAAGGCAATCTTGACTGAGGTGCTGGGAGAGCCAATAGCAAAGAAGATGATATCCTGCCTTGAGGAGCTAACAGTCTAGCTGAGGAGCCAAGACACATACAATAGTGCAAAAATGGCGAATAGTCTGCTTCAGGGTTAACAGCAACGAGCATTACATTGTCCCATTTGGTGATTCCAGAGTGTGAACAGTGTCTCCTGAGCTAAAGGCTGGAAACCCCACCAGTGGGGACAGTACTTCTGAGTCAGGATTTCGGAGTAAGCTTGGAATTCTCCCAACCCTGCTTGGACCCAGAGGCAGCCAAGATGATCTAGGGAAGGTCACTCCCCTCCTGGTCTCGGCTTCTGCTCTTCTCTCTGAGACTGGTTTGAAAGGCTAGCAGGTACAGGGGGTCAGTGGGGTGGCCAGATGGAGGGAGAGCTGGTGTCTTGGGATCCAGTCTTGGCTCTTCACTGACTAAGTGGCCCATGCTGGGAACCCCTCTTTGTGTCTGTGGGCCTCAGTTTCCTCAGCTGTAACACAAGGAGGCTGGATTGGAGGCTTGCTAAATTTCCTTCCAACACTCACATTCTCTGATCCTCCCTAACATCAACACATCTTTCAAGTCAGTAGAGCTGTGTGCCAACTGAACTATTGAAAATGACTTTCTGTGGACACCAACATCTGTTTCAGAGGCTGAGAGTGGGGTGTGGTCCCCTCCTTCCTCCCCATTCTCTGCAGGCTCCCTGAGTGCCCCAGGCTAACATTAGGCACTGACTGGGGTGGGGGTCACCTAGAGCGGGAGAGATCAGCTGCTGACTTTGGGGGTAGATCCCAAAGCCCCCCACTTCCCCATCTTTCTGGGGCCCTTGTACCCTGCAGATGGGTCCAGGAGGTGACATGGACTCATGCTCCTCCCAGCTCCCGGCTTCCTTAGCCGAGCAGCCGGGCAGCCATCTGGGTGAGAGGAGAGGAGAGAAGGCTGTGCTTCTGCTCCCATGAAGCCCTCTTCGCCAGTTGTCCGGGAGCCTGGGAAGAGTGGAGAAGAGGCAGGCTCGGGCCTCAGCATCTCACACCCACCACCTCCAGGAGAGGAGACCCCTGGTAGTCCTCCTTCTGCTCAACTCAAGGGACTCCAACCCTTTCTTGACTGAGACGCATGAGTGCCTTCTGGGGCGAGAGCTGCCCCAGGATTCAAGTTGGGCCTCCTAGCCACAGCCCTGGCGGCAGCAGGTGCACCGAGGACGCCAATTAATGAAACCAACGCCAGGAGCCCGGCTGGCGTGGGCAGAGGTCGCCGGGGGGCCGCGGGGCTCCTCCACTAGCCTGGACCCCCTCGGGCCCTGAAGCCCTTGCCCACCACCTGTGGCAGGACTCAAGCTCCTCTTCTATGTTCCTAGCCTCCGTGCAAGTATTCTTAACTCTTTACGCCTAATGAACAAGCACAGTTTTTTCAATGGTGAAGAAAAAGCACCAGATTTTTTTTTTCTTGAAGAAATCCCCCAAACCCTCCGCCTGCCGGCGGGACAAACACTCCCCGTGTGGGGCTGTAGCAACGTCTGTCAGGTCCCCCCTCGTGTTTCATCTCCTGCGCGCGTAGAGCAAATGCTAGAGCGATTTCAGCTGATAGAAAAACAAAAATGAAAAAAAAACACAAAAAACAAAAAACATGGCACGTTGCTAGTTTACAGGGTTTTGTGAGTTTAAATGCCTTATATTTAACAATCATAATTTATGACTAACTTGTAGATATCGTGGGTTCTTATTTAATTATTTTTATAGTTGTTTTGCATTTTTAATTATAATTTATTTATTTAGAAAGGATACTAATTTTTTTTATTACTCCTATTACCTCATTTTGGCGTTGTTTCTGGGAGTGGAATGCTTTGCATGCATTGGTACGATGACAAACAACTACGAATACAAAAAAAAATTTAAATAAAATTCTGCGAACTTTATTTCGTCCAAACTATCAGGGTGTGTGATTGCAAGCTGTCCTACTGTGGTGCTGGCCTCTTGGGATACATTCCATACGAAATGCAAACCTTGATTCTGTATGCTGTGATCTAGTGAAAAACTCCAATATAGTGACTGTATTTAGCACATATATAAATATAATTTGCACTCGTCAGCAGACTGGGGTAATCCTTTCACTTGCTACCCTTCCCCACCCAAGCCCCCCATCATTAACCTGTTTTTCCTTCTTCCTTGGTCCCTGCCTCAACCTCCATCCTCTGAAGAAGGTCCGAGGGCACTAAAGGTCACTCTCTCCACCTGGCCTCCAAATCTCTCTGCTTCCAGAATTAGGCCCTTTGGACATGACCAGCAGGAGCATTTGAAAGCCAAAAAGCCTGAGTTATTAAAATCAGGCTGGACTGGGGTTTTCAGACCAGCTCTACTGCAAATTTCCCGGTGACCTTGAGCAAGTCACTTGGCCTCCCTGAGTCTCAGTTTTCTGGAGTGAGGGGGGTGAGCTGGAGGATCTCTAGGGTCCCTCAGACTCCAATAGAATATGACCTAAATCTGGGGGGAGACCGCCATGCTGTGCCATCTTACCCTCTCAGGAGAGAGGAGAGGGAAGGAGAAAGGCTGGAGGGAGGAGGGAAGGAGAAGAACAAAAAAAAGGAGAGGAAGAGAGTGGACTAAGAATCTATCCAGCGGATTTGCTGGAGGAGACATCCGGAAGGGTTTTCATCCTTTTATATGCAGCATCCTGTGGGCGACAGAGAGGCAGATTAGGCGGATGCATCCCTGGACACGGGACATGCACTTTTACAAGGTCATTTGGAGAGTGAGCTGAAATTCACATCTTGTTAGATAGGGGGGTGGGGGAGGCAGAATATAAGCCCCAAACCATGGTGTTTGGGATTGGCACTCCCGTTCCGTCATCTCTTGGAGCATTTATTGTTGAGGCATCACCCTTGACAACAGGCTGGGACACAGATTTTGGACTCATGGTCTCTCCTCCCCAGCATCTCCTCCTTCACCCTCTGCCGTCGCTTCATGGGGGCTGTGGACAGGAGAGCTGCTATGGAGGATGGGATGGGGTGGGCGCTCCAGTCTCCCTGCCCCCGAGAAGGAGTGCTAGGGGAGGGTTTGAGGAAGCAGTGGCCACAATGGCTGGCACAGCAGTAAGCCCAGATGCCTTTGAGCCAAAAGGAGAGGAGGTCCATGTACCTAGGAGAAGCTTCTGAGCAGGCTCGGACCCCAGCTGGGAGTGGGAGGGCCACTGCCGTGCTCTCTGCGTGTCTGCCTCCCCCTTCCTCCCCTCCTTCCCTTCCTTTCCAGGTCATCCTTCCCTCTTGCCTCTTGACATCACTGCCTTTACTTGGTGGAGAAGTCCACCCTCCACATGAGGCCCCCTGGGATGGTGCTGATGGGGGAGGAAGCAGAGGCCCAGATTTGCCACACTGCCTGGCCAGGCTTGCAGGAGGGGCTGGGCTGTGTAGGGTCCCTAAGCGCCAACTTTGCTCTGGCTGGTCTATGGGTCCCATTCCCTGGGCTTCCTGCCTGCTGCCTGCCCAGCTTCCCTTTCCGCCT